TGTTCCAGGACTGCAGGGGCAAAGTATGAAATGTTAGACTGTTAGACAAATGTTCTTCATATGTCCAAACACCACCCCTCCCCACACCTCAATCTTTTCTTTAGGCATTCTTAGTTTAGCTCTATTTACAATGTGGTTGCAGGTGAAGTTAAGGTGTTTAGTCCCACTTTAAAATTAATATATGTGTAACATGCATGAAAGAATATGATAACATGTCATAAAGTACCTGCATGCATTTGAGAAGACCCAAGAAGGCCATGAAGCCCTCTAAGAACTGTCTCCGCAGCTCCTCCGTCCACATGGAAGGCTTGCTGATCAGAATGTACCTGTGACAATTACAAGTAAATCATTAACTGTAATGAGTTACAGACACAATTCTAAGAAAAAGTTTAAGGGGAAAGAAGGTACCTGAGGTCATGGAAGATGACCTGGATGCGTGAAAACTTGTCTGAGTTGTAGCCGAGGAAGAAGAACCGATTGTTGTCATCCAAATGTTCACGTAGCAGCGCCAGGACAGTCTCAACTATGACTTTAATGACGTTACCTTCCTCTATTAGATGTCTTGCCTAAACAAACAGGAATAAATGGATAATAACAAACATCTTTATTATACAAATGCATAATGTATTACTGTGGCATAATCCATACCAGAGTTGGGACGGTGAAAATCTGAACAGACAGAGCAGTGATCGATATACTTCTTTCATGGTCATCATTGATGAAGTCCTTCTGCAGCTGTTTGTAATGCTGAAGATCAGAGCAGTAGCTTGTGAATAAATCAAAGTATTTGTATCAGAATTTGCATAGCTTCCTCCAAAGAGATACCTTTGTAAACTCAATAGCAAACAGCCTTTTGAATTCAGTTTCCATCAGCATACTGCAGAAAATGAGCTCATGCACGATCTTGCGGGCTCCTGGGAGAGAGTGACATAAGATAAAGCCATGCAAAAAGTGAATACTTATAATGGACACAGTAAGAACTATGCTGCAGTATTACCTTTGTACATTCTGGCATCATGTAACATGAGGCGGCTGATGAGGCAGGGTGTGTCACTGTCTGCACTGGGCTCCAGGGCCACCTGGCAAAACGCCTGTCTGAAGCCCGCTGCAACAAGCACACGTAGCAGCTTTAATCTCTCTGGAGAGCTAACACTTTTCCACAGCTCAAATATTAGTCATGGCAAAAAGACAAGCTTGCACTACTTTAAATATGTGAGTATTTTGTCAGCACCTGAGTAACCAATAATCTTTTGGAACCAGGAGCCAAGCCGCAGAGCAAAAGTCTGATGAGCCATGATGGCAGCGTGAAGAATCTCCACACGCAGAGGCTGCAGGGAGATGTGCTCCGAGTTGGACTGAACACACACAGTGACACAGTGAGATCATAACAATGTTTGTTCCTTTATTTATATACTACCAGTCAAATGTTTGGACTCACCCTCTCATTCTTTTTTCTTATCACTTTCTACTAAATATTTTTCGACAAAGATAAGGGTGGCTACTTTGAGTATTAGAATACAAATTTTTATTTTTTTAAAAATTACGATTATTGCTTAGCTTTTTTCCCCTTTGCTACATAATTTCATATATCTTATTTTATAAACTTGATGTCTTCAGTATGGATATAAAATGTCAAAAGCTGTAAAAATATAGAAAAGATGGTGTGTCCAAACTTTTGACTGTTACTGTACATTTTTAAGTATCATACAGGTGAGTATTTACCCTAATCAGGTCTTTTGCTTGCTGGCAGGAGTGTAGGGTACCTCTTTTAACAGCCCGTCGACCCTGATAATTAGTTATTACCAAAATGAGATCCATTTGAAAGTAGATGTTGTTAATACAGTTCACTCAATATTGAAGCCAAAGCCAGAAAGTACCTCTTTGTCAATAAGTGCAGTGTGTGTATGTGCCTCATTGTGATCACAGTTGACAGAGCGCTGCAGGGTGTAGATCACATGGTCATACGAGTGGTGCTCATCGTTGTACAGCACACAGTAGTATGCATTCTCCTTTGTGCTGGATAGGAAGAGATAGAACATGAATTAGAACGGGCATCTGATGTAATGTGAGACTGCGTGGGCCATACCGAGACTGGAGCTCAGACGGGAGTTCAAAGTTTTCCTCCCACACCAGGAAATCTGTGACGTATTGCAGTAAGACCCGGAAGAGCCTCTCTGCACGCTCATAAAGCTCTGGCTCCAACGCACAATCATCCTGTGAAGATCAAAACAACAGCAATAAAAGACGGTTTATACACAACCTTTGGATCATACATAATAAGCTATAAATGGAACAGGATACTAAAGCAATTTGATGAGGAGGAAATTGTAAAACCAGCCAGATCTTGTGACTGTGGTTCTCCAACTTGAACATGCTACCTTCTAGTAGGTGGGCGAGGAGATAATTGCATTACTATAGTCACAATTTATACTTATAACCAACAATAAAAATAATAAAAAATACATTGGGTCACAGAGAATTCTAAGTAAAATATTTCAACCTAATACATACATTTGTACAGCAGATTTACAAACAATACATCAATTACAAGGTCTGGTTCTGGTTCAGATCTGGCTCTGAAACTAGCACATTATGTTCTATACACATTACTGACCAAATAAAGCCATATTTGGCACGTCATTTCCTGTTTGCGTGTTGGCACCGTGACATCTGTTGAATCATTCTACTAAATTCAAACAAAACATAGAGCTGGCCTCGAAACATGAACATCCCACGAGAGCAGAGATTCCACACGCAAGCTCAGTATTTCAGACACAAGTCCTGAATTCAACACTCGCTACACACGCACATGAGCAGTCTACAAGTCTACAGCATACTACTTTCTAAGAACAAACATGGCAGTTTTGAACACTATAAACTCTGATACCATGATGATAAATGATAAAAAAACGCAATTTCTTTGATTGATATTCAAAATTAAACAATAGCACTTTTATATTATGTGGAGCTATACAGTATCTGTGTAATCCCTCAGTGGTCCAGGTAGGTTCACTAGTGATCCATGGATGTATATATATGCTCTTATACTTGTTCTGGCAGAGCTCAAAATGATTCTAAAACTATTCAGGAAAGGTTAATTTCTGTCCTGTGAATGTGACTTTTTAGTTTCGATACTTGCTCAAATTAATATCTAATTTCGATACTAGTTTTAGTATCGTCTTGTATCTGATTCTCGTCAATCCCATTACTTACTTAATACAGTTTTGTGGACCTCAGTAATGTTACATGTCACCAGGATAGGTCCAACAAAAATAAATAAATACTAGTATTGTTTAAAGTTGCATTGTGTAATTTTTCTGGTGGAAGGACCATCACATGCTTTTCTCCATGGAGATGTTATTGCTTTGCACATTGCACATTCTCTGAAATGTTTCACAGTATGGTATTAAACCTTTCTATCGTCATGGAGACCAAAACAGACTCAATGACAGGTCAGATCGGTGGAGAGGCGACCCCGCTCACAGTCAGAATGCTTGTTTTCTAGGTATTTTTGAGCTATAAAATCACCTGTAATTCAATAAATGTAAAGTAAAGTTGTTTAATGTCATATTGTAGAACTTTCCAGGCAGAGCAATGACATATCCATAGAAACAAGCAGGTGACGAAAAAGTTACATAGTGCACCTTTAAGTTCTATTATGGGAAAAAAAATATCTGTCTACTTTCAAACTGAATTATGATTGTCCATGTCAGAACTGGTTAGGAAAAGCTTCAGATCTGCTCCATAGAACACAAAGCAGATTGCCTGGACAGGGTCAGTGATGTGCCTGCTAACAGAGACACCTGTTGTTTACGGAAACAGGCCCGCTGCTGCCTGCTGGACGTCTGCTTAAAGCCCTGACATGATCTTATCAGGGAAAAGCCCAACGCAGCGGCCCACAGAGGAGCGCCTCACAACAGCTCCTAATGAGAGCCATTCATCAAGTGTGGTGAGCTGCAGACTGATGGAGCAACTCTAAACTGCATCCGTGCGCAGTCTGTACTCTGCTGAAAGAAAGCCCTGACCCAACAACTGCTGCCCACTCAGATAGAGATATAGAGATTGCACATATTGACATGTTTTTGGTATTTTTATTTTGGTATTTTTAATTTTTGTATTATACTTGAGTAACAAACATTAAAAGATGCACAATAACTTTTTGTTGGGGGTCTGTCACATTTTTGTTTCTATGGATATGTGATTCCTCGGCTTCCAATGTTCCACAGTATGACATTAAACAGCTCTTACCTTACATTTCTACAATTGTAGATGGTTTAATAGATCGAAAATACAAAGAAAAACAGGAATTCTGTGAGTGGGGGTGTCTCTCCATGGATCTGACCTGTAACTTGGTCTAGTTTGGTCTTCATGAAGATAGAAAAGTTTAATGCCATACTGTGAAACGTTCCAGATGAAGCAATAACATCTCCACAAAGAAACGCATTTGACGAACCCTAACCATCCATAAATGCTGGATGGCTATGTTTAATGTCATACCATGGAACATTTCAGGCAAGGCAACAACATCATGGGGAGAAGTAGGTATTGAACCCTCCACTAGAAAAGTTGCACAGTGCACCTTTAAATGTTATGGACTGTACAAAATACTGACAGCTACTGATGGCTGTTTCGGTATTTAATTTTCTAACCATTTTTTGTAGGGCTAATTGTGAATTGTGAAATCCTGTGAGACAATAGCTGAATTTAAAAAAAAAACAAAAGTGCAGAAATATCACCTTATCATCACCATTTTTAGTAAATGCAGTTTTGTTTTGTTTTTTTCTCCATAACAATTTCTCCATACTAATTAATTTCAAAACAACAATTTAGAAATTTTAAAGAAGATTTATTCTCTACCGCTACTCTGACCCAACAATCACTATACTTTCAGCTTAGACTAATTCACTTCCTCATATCTCCCAGTGAGTGCAGGTCAATGAACTGTTCCCATTCTATAATCTAATAAGTCGTACACTAACTTGACGTTCAGCATCAGGCCTAGATGGGAAAATAAACATTCTGGGGTTCACTGACGCAGAATCTTAACACATAGATCCCTCCCACATCCCTTTTCCACTCGATTATGCAACTCACCGTAACCATGGCAGTGGCAGCCCCGGGGTCATGTTTAGAGCAGTAAGGGCCAATCTTCCAGGCTTCTACATCCCCGCAATCACAGAAGCCCCCACCAGATGAAGCATGCATCTGTAAGATTTCAAAAGTGGTATGTCCAAATAAGACAAATATGGGCAGTTTAAACAGCTGATACAGATTTAATAGCAGGATTTTTTTTCTCATGAATACTAACCTTATAACGATGGCTTTTGTGTACACTGTCCTGGAAACAGTCCATGCACAACACACATGTAGGATCTATCGCACAGTCCCTACAATGAAGACACCAGGATTCATTACATGCTTTGTTAGTGTCAATAATATCTACCAAAACCAAACAAAGAAAAGTGTCAACAAATTCTATGTCAAATATTTATTTCAAAACATTTTCTAATAAAGCTCACTGAATGTAAAATGTAGTTTAGAGCTTACTGTGTGTAAAAAAAAGTCACTGCCTAATTTTGAGAGATAAATACAATTACTGATAGTGTCACATTGAAATTTGAGCTTCTACTCATGAAGTATTCATATTTAACACTTAGCCTTAATACTGTGACCTGGAAAAGTGAACTAAGACTCAGTGAAGGCAATTTAGAAGAGTAAAAGTACTTGAACCATGCATTGTGCTCTGATATATGAGCCTTGTAAGCTCAACTTAAGGTTAACCATAACAAGAGTGTTGTGCTAACATCTTAAAGGTAAAAAGGGTGTGTGCCAAACCTGCAGGAGTAGACTGTCTCTCCCTCCTTAAAGACCCGCCCACAGAGTTGGGAGGAGGAGCTTCCCTGCTGGAGCTTCTGGAGACCCTCTTGGGGATGCTCTCCAAACAGGAAGCACTCCAGAGGGTGGAGGAGGCGGCTCTGCACCATCTCCTCTTCATCCTGGGGATTGAGCTCCTTCTTCAGGCAGAAGATCCGAGGCACCTGTTCCTTCAGGTGCCGAAGCAGCTCGGCCCTGCAGTCTACTGCCTCTTGCCATTCCTGCCACAGACAAACATGTTTTACAATGACTTCAAACTGTTGTAGCCTTTTAAAATTAAGACTTAGACAAACTTTAATGATCCACAAAGGAAATTATTTAGACACAGTAGCCCACACACCACAATATTTTATAATAACAGAGATAATAAATTCAAAATAAGTTCCAAAACAGCAAGAGAATGGTGTCAAATAAAACAGAATATGATGAAATAAAAGTATACGTACAAGTATAAATAAATTATAGTAACAAAATATCTCTCAGCTTCATACAAGATGTTTTGATAAGCAACAACAGTTTTGAGTATTGCACTTAGGAACATGTAGCTAAAGTACACTGTCAAACTAACAGGAATGTCACACGTTTTGCAATATGCTGCAAGATCACAGAGGTAATTATGCCCCTCAATGCAGAGGTAAAACTGCAATTTCAGGAAATGTTACTTAATATTTACAGTTTCAACAGATTTGTATGTTTAGGACATTATTAAGGCATAAAGAATACATTTTGTTAAGCTTGTTTTTAAGATATGGAGCCACCAGTGAGCATTTGCATACACTTGCTGTGAAAAAAGAGGGTAATAGAAAAAGATTTTTCCTTTCCCGTGTACAGCAAACCCTAGGAAGAGAGCAAGAGAGCTAACACAGCTGTCAAACTAATATTACGCACCCAGTGTCATTGGGAGTCTAACGTTGAAGCGATCATCAAAATAAGAAAAGATCTGGAGAAGAGACATCTGAACTAACAAATCTTCCAATGTCCAGACTGTTTTAAACCAACGACTTTACATCAGAGCAATAGCAGGCTAAAGTCGGCCAAGTCCTAACTCGAAAGCAAAACCATAAACATTCAGGAGCTAACAGAAGAGCTAACCATGACAGTATGGTTTCTTAAGCTTTATGTTGAAATTCGCTGCTTTGATCGCAACTTGAAATGGAACTTTAGAGCGAAGGTCACACGTTTTATTGACACATTCTGTCTTTAAGCCTCGCAAACTACTGTCAGTAAGATAAAGTATTGTAAAAACATACCCTGCTGAGCTCCAACCCGTCTGGAGATTTCTCCGCCATGTTCCATTTGCCGTAAAGGAAGGCATGTTGCTAGGAGACAGTTCCCTTACAAAATCAATTATTATTTTGCGACAACCAAAATTATAATCATTTATATTAATTTGTATGTTTATAATGCAGTGTAGTTGCAGCCTTGATGCCTTATAACCAAACTATATGGAGTATAATACAATTTTATATTTTACATATTTTGTTTATTTATACCGCTACTAAAATATATATAAAGGCTATATCAAGAAAGGTAATATATAAATAAATTTTTTGATCTTACCATGTTTTTGTCAAACGTTTTCACTAGTACACGTACATAAACCTAATTTGAAATCACTTATTATGATCTTTCGTAACCGTCCGCTGGATGGCGCTGTTCAGAGCCGCTGCAGCTCGTGTGCTGATGAAAACAGTGGGGTCAGAGGTGAATGTCTGACTAAACTCGAGATGGATTCTATATTTCATGAAAAAGTAAGTGTAATGGTGTAGTGGTTTGTAGAAAATAACCGGGCTGCGTCTCCTAAACGAGCTTTTTCTCCTGCATGTTGTGTCATGTGCTGATCATTACGTCTTTGCGTCAGTGCTTTGTGTATTATTGTTCAGATAGCTCCAAGCTAATGACAACTGCTAACTAAAGTTTTCTATTGACTTTTGCAATAAGCATTTAAAGACCTTTGTTGTGAATATATATGTATTACCGTTGCAAACCTTGTTAAGTCATATTTTGCTATGGCTAAATTCATCTGAATATTTGATAACTTTAAGTATTTATATAGTGTTTACGTCAGCTAGCCATGTAGCCGCTCTTGTGTTTTGCTTGGCAGGGATCAGGAGTCTCCAGTAGTCTCAGTAAAAGGGAGAATTTGACGGCTTTAGTGTAGTTGTTATATTTAGGACCTATAATCACGATTTCTAATGCATTAATTTAGATGTTATCACTCATAAGAAGGAGACTGTAGTTATTTTTGTTAATTTTCTTCAGTTAATGCGGGTATAATGTTACATTACAGCACATAACTAATCTATTGCCTTCCAATCATTCTTTGTAGCAAGAGGGATCTCTCTGTGCCCAGCACTGCCTGAACAACCTTCTGCAGGGGGAGTATTTCACTCCAGTGGACCTGTCCTCCATCGCTCAGCAGCTGGATGAGGAGGAGAGGATACGGATGGCTGAGGGGGGCGTGGGCAGTGAGGAGTACAGGACCTTTCTTCAGGTCAGGAGACAGTCTCAATAACCACAACATTTGTACAATTCCCATGGTTAAAGTTTGTTTATTTGTGGTTTCAGCAACCTTCCGGTAACATGGATGACAGCGGTTTCTTCTCAATACAAGTTAGTACAAGCCTGTTTCACTGAAAGCAATAGACCCATCATTATGCCTGAACAGTGCCTCTTGAATGTCTTATTGTTGCAGGTCATTAGCAATGCTCTCAGTGTGTGGGGTTTAGAATTAATTCTTTTCAACAGCCGGGAATACCAGAGTCTGATGATAAATCCCATGTAAGATCTCTTTGTTAAACTTAAGGCTTTTATCTGTTTATCTGTTTAAAGCAGAAAAAGTTTAAGATTGAGTTTGTTATTTCAGAAATGAGAAAGCGTTTATCTGCAACTACAAAGAACATTGGTTCACTATTCGCAAACTAGGACAGCAGGTACAATTCATATTGTATTTACGTTTTATCATACAATCTGTATAACCTTCTTAACCAGTTCTAACAAAAAATAAGAAGAACCCACAGTTGTTATGTCTGTTGGAATGTATATTGTGTACTGTTCTTAATAAAAAATTTATGATAAAAAAAAACTGTATAACCTTCATAACATTTTGTTATTGTTTATTGCAGTGGTTTAACTTGAATTCATTGCTGACTGGGCCTGAATTAATATCAGACACATATCTAGCACTTTTCCTAGCACAGCTACAACAAGAAGGTACTTGATGTACATAACATATACCAGAAGATTACTGGCTTTGTTTCAAATGCTTTTTACTTGTGCACAGGTTATTCCATTTTTGTGATCAGAGGCAACCTGCCGGAGTGCGAAGCAGAGCAGATTCTGGCGATCATGAGAGTCCATCAACAGCAGCGGCCCCGACTCATTGGAGAAGAAGAGGGACAAACAAGCTCAGGGTTAGTAGTTCTTTGTTTTCTTACATTTGGTTAAAAAGTCATGTAAGAAAATTTGTATTTTTGATAGTAGCAGGTCTGTGGCTTTGGGCCAGAATGAGATGGGCGTTGGTGTGGAGGAGGATATAGTGGATGAGGACGAGGAGCTAAAGAGGGCCTTAGCACTCAGCAGACAGGACATAGATGTGGAAGACGAGGAGGCTGACCTGCGCAGGGCTATACAGATGAGCATGCAAGGTAATGGACTGGCCTGCATAATTCATAATACAATTGTACAAATGAACATACATAAATTACATAAATATTTTGTAGGGGCTGTAATGAGCAACACCTCATCAGAACTTCAAACAGGAAAAGTCCAGTCAAGCAGCCAGACAGCTGTAGGATCACAAAGGGAAGGCCAAGGTGAGACGCTCACAGCTGAAGAGCTGAGGAAGAAGAGGCAGGCCTACTTTGACCGGTAACTCTGACTTCATGTTGCAGTATTGTTCTTATGTGCCTTTGTTTCTTTGCAAGTTAACATTAATACAGCCATATTACCTCCTAGACAACAGCAACAAGCCCAATCCAACATTCCTCAACAACAAGAGACAAAGTCATGTGACAGCTCCGGTGGGTTTTCATATTCATTATGTTTTAATTAAACAGCAAAAACTTAAAATAACTAAATCATATACTTGTTGACTTATATCATTCTAGCATCAGAGACATTGACCAAGCCGGACGAGCAGCACAAGCAGCCCTGAAGACTGCCTCAGTTCCCAGCTGCCTTGTATTGGTGTCCCCATAAGGGGTAGCTTCGCTCCTTCCTTTAATCTTTTGCACATGCGGACAAGGACAGTCAGAGGACTGATATAATGGTTGGCTGGTTAGTTCACTTCCAGGCCATACAGAAGAGATGGACATGCAAGAAGAGGAAGTCTCAAACTAACTCAGCTTTGCTGGAAAAGGTGTGACCATGGAAATTCATGACGCATTTTATCCAAGATTGCAAATGCCTTTTTACCATGGCGCCTTCAATTTCTATAGTACAATGTTTTAATTCCTTTCCTTTGGGAGGTATAGACAGAGTATAAAGCATGCAGCTGCTGTGTTTACATGTAAATGCACACTGTCGGTGGCACTCTGAAGGTCACTGGAGACCAAAAGGTAAGCCATAGGTAAAGATTTTAATGTAATGGACCTGAGTTTGTAGGCCTTTTAATGCATTCTACTCCAACCACCGCATAGTTTTAAAGAAATGTACTGTACACTTCTGGCCACATTTAGATGAACATACACTGGCTTTTTCAATCTTCATTATATTATTATAGCTTTGTTTTTTGCTCAGCACTTACAATCTATTCCACTCTATAGCATCCGATCGTTCTCTGTGCTGATGCTATATTTGACCAACAGCTTTAACAGATGCTAGTGCATAAAACACATCTCATAACCAAACACATTATTTTTGACTCATCCAGATACTTCAAGAAGTGTGTGGTCTTGTACCTCTCCAGTACTTAGGATATCATTTTAAAACATGGTATGAAGCAAAACAAGAATAAAAACAAATCTGTGTAGCACTGCTGATGGTTTGTTGGTACAATCCAGATAATTGCACTAATTGGAGACCTGCTGTGTTTTGATAAAGCAACAGTATTTAAAACATAAATTATTACTCTCTTGTTGCCATGGTTCAAGCAGTTTGATTTATCATGTTGAAAAGTAATTAATTTTGTCCCTCTGGGCTGAAGTGAATCATTTGTGTTGGACAATGATACGCCAACAGTAAAGATGACTGTTATACAACTCCAAAGAATCATTCAACATTTGACTCTTTTTTCCTTATAATTTCAACCCCCACCAATATTGAGTTTGCTGTGATCCTATTTTCCATAGATAAAATATAGTTTACACTCTTTCTGTTGTAACATATCTGTAAAATTAGTGCTTTAGTAAAAGAATGACACCTCCACTTGAATTGATAATGTCATATCTTTTCCTCAGCTTTAGGTATTTTATTGAATTATGTCGGTATCTGGGTTTTACTCCTTTGTACTCACTACATTCTAACTATAAGCACTAATTCCTCTTTTTTGGTTGTATGTTGAAGTTGAACATGGTTTGATTATTAGTTCTAAAATTAAATGGATGTTCACCTACTCAAATGTTTCTTGTTATTTGGTATTTTAGGATACTACATTTTATTTTAGGATCTCATCTAAAGATAACATTGCATGGAAGTTGGCTGGTGGGTAGGGCTGGGTATCATTAAGAACTTGCCGATACGATACATATCTTGAGCTTTCAATTCAATACAATATATTTCAAATTGATTCGATAGAATAGCAAAATAATACCAAAATTATGGCTGTGACATTAAAAGTCTTTGTCAAACCACTTCTTGTGCAAAGTTAATATGAAGCACAAACATTTAAATCATTAAAACAGTGAAAAGGTCAAATGTGTTGCATAAACGAGTTTTATTCCTCTAACCAAGCAATAAAAATGTAGCTCTGTAACAAAATAAATTTGTAATATATACCATAAAATACTATTGGCAACATATCGATACAGCAGCCCACGATATTGATACTGTATCATCATATTAAACAATAATATATATCGATATTTTGATATTTTTGCACACCCCTACTGATGGATTTCATATCTGTTTTCTTTCTAACTGGAGTTAGGGATGCACCAATAGATAATGGTATTGAATATTGGTTTTGATTAATGAAAATACCGCCTATAAACTGATGCAATTAGACTATTTATGCCCGAGCGCCAGAGGCTGGCAAAGGGCCTATTAGTATCACAAAGCAATGCTCCTAGTTACCAGTTGTAGTTGATCCAGAAAGTCTCATAATGTTGAAACTTTTAACGACAACAATGCTTTTCTATAGTTACTTGAGAGACAAATGAAGTTAGCACATTTTGTCATGTATTTTGTTTTTTGATTTTAGGAAAATAAAGTGTATTTTTAGTCCCTGCACTGGTATTGGTTGATATTGGGTATCGACAGATACTTAAAGCCATAGTATTGGAATATGAATCGGAACTGAAAATGCTGGATCAGTGCCCCCCTACTCCCTAGTCAACTGACATTATCAATTTATTGAGTTGGGGAGGAGACAACACAACAATTTTCTTGTTTGGGTTCAATAAGATACCCACAAAACCACTGGGTTAATATGTAACACTTTGAACACACTTGCACTTTGCTTCACCAAATAGTCCCTGAAGCTTTGGACATCATCTGGGCCTAACCGGTATGTGGAATATTTTGTTGTGAATTTGACATATTTTTTAATTTAATCTCAATGTTATCTTATTTCAGAAGCTATTGTCTTGCCAGGAACCACGATGGACCACCTCTTTAGGATGAATTGGCTGTTTTATCTCACCTTTCTGTGCTGCTTTGCTTCAGTTTTCCAAGACACTCTTCCAAATCCAAACATTACAGATCTTTCCCACAAGAACATGGACTTTGCTGTGAACCTCTATCGAAGAATATCCAGCTACCATGACAAAAACATCTTCTTCTCACCTTTGAGCATCTCCACAAGTTTCGCCGCTCTGCTTATGGCCACAGGTGGTGTCACTCGTGATGAAATTTTAAATGGACTTAACTGGCAGCAACTTGATAGAGCAAACGAGCCGGAGATCATTCCACAACTGTTTCATCTCCTCTACAAAAACATCACGCAAAATGGGTCCCTCAGCCTAGACCAGGACATGGCAATGTTTGTAAGTGATAAGCTGAGCATGGAGAAGACCTTTGAGGAACAGATGGAGAAGTATTTTGAAGCCGACATCAAAGCGGTGGACTTTTCCGACATGAGACAGAGTGTGGCCTACATTAATAACTATATTAAGGACAAGACTAACGATAGAGTACAAGACATGATTTCCAGTCTTGATGCAGGGACCCAGCTCATGATCTTAAATACAATATTCTTTAGAGGTAAGAACACTTATAATCAATTTTATAAAGCTGTTCCACTTCTATTTAAGGTGCTTATTTTCATCAAGTATTCACGCACTCACAATCACTCCCTGACTCATACCAGTGGCATATATTGACATGGTGGGCGGTGTGTCTTGCTCAGTGACAGGAGCGGGAATAGAACCTTATGCTTATGAGTTAACTCTATCCTGTGCCATATTTTTTGGTATTCTCTGATCTGTTATAATGTTGTTTCCTCATCCTTACAAGTTTAACACACAAACCCTGCATATTTATACAGTTTGAGTTGTTCTCTCAAACACAAAACAGTCTGGTCCACCTTGTGATGTCATGTGGTAATAATATAGGAAGTGCTCTACTGCCCTTTTAAACTCCATACACCTCCCAGAGCTGTATTAAGCCAATGTATACGATACCCCCCCGCACTTACACACACGCACGCACACACAGACACAGACATGCACACACGCACACACCCTACCCCTGTCTTCCTGTCAAATCAAAAATAGTACAAACAAAGGCATTTCTCTTACGTGATTTACTAACTACATCGGCCCAGCAAATAAGCCTAAAATAACTTACAGCATCCAGTTATATTCATGTAGGCATATTCAAGTCTCAATTCAAAATGTATAAATGTATATCATATATTTAGTTTTTGTTTTTTTTTAATTATACATTTGCGCGTACTTGTGGACTGACTCATCTGACAGATTGGGGGAAGAGGGAATGAATGCTCAATGTTCAGTATTATCATTACTATTATGAAAATTAGTGTTAATGACGAGTTATGTATGGCCAGTTCACCCTTTCAAGTGAATAACATACAAAACCCCACTGGTTGTGAGTGATTTTTGAACATGGGCACCATGCCACTAGCCTGATTCCTCAGCCGGTTTTACGTCGTAGAAACTGTCTGACCTCGCAGCATTACGATTCATTTGCTCAACAATAGGCACGTACTTTTTTAATTTAACCAATCACTGCTATTTGGTCATGACGTATGTAATGTGCCGCTAACCAGGCTAACTGGTATATTAAGATTTTCCCAAATCCCATAGGAAGAAGGGCAATAACGTCTTTCCCCTTAATGAAATTCACCAACCTTTCTCTTTGCTCTGGATTTAAATCCTTGATCTCAAGAATCGTTGCCAACACCGGATGATTGGCTGGTGCCCAGACTCGCACTTCCGGTGTTCTTGCAAACCGTCTAGTGTATTCTGATTCCTGACCTAATCGCTGGAGAGAAATGAAACTGAGCAGGGGCACTAGCTGGCGCCAGCCTGGCTACCATGCCACTGGCCCATATGGATAATCTGTTCTTGAGACCTTCACCAGAATCATTTGGATAATTTCATCTCTACTGAACAAAAGGTAGCTGTTAACTTAAAAAGTACTACACTTCATGGCATCACAAGGTGTAAAAGAGCATTTTGAGCTTTGGAGATGTAAAGAGACAGATGCTTGGGATGTCCCACAGCACGACATTAACCATATCTATCTCCATGGAGACAAATAGATGACGCCACCAGGCCAAGTTACAAGTCAGATCTGTTTTGACTGAGGTGTGTTTTTCTCTCACAGGAAATTGGAAGAGCCCCTTTAACCCCAACTTCACCAAAACAGAAGCGTTCTACATCGACAATTACCACATGGTGAATGTGCAGATGATGTACAAGGAGGCCCGGTTCTTCATGGGGCACGACCAAGCTCTCCGTGTGAAAGTGCTGAAGATTCCTTATGAACATGACGTTTCACTACTCATCGTTCTGCCAAATGAAGGAGTGGATTACACGGCTATTGACGATGAGATAAATGCGGACAGGTTCCAGGAGTGGTTGCAGTCTCTGAGACCATTGTACGTTCAATGTTATAGATTTATGAGATGCAATATGTAACATTTCTGGTGGAGTATATACCATCTGCTTGGAGATGTTATTGCTTTATCTTGCATTTATTCATAGTGTTTTTCACTGCTCAAAAATACACACTGAAATAACATTACATCTGCTTGTCTCCATAGATATCGGTAAGTTTAATGCCTTAATGTGGAGCATCTCAGACATAATGATCCATGTAGAGAAGCAGATGGCATATACCCTCCACCAGAAATGTTACATAGTGCAGCTTTAAATACAGTGAATATATTTTGTTTTCATGTTGGATTGTGTTTTCAGAAAAGTAGAAGTCCATCTGCCAAAATTCAAGCTGGAGCAGTCGTATGAACTGCACAACCTTCTCCCTAACTTGGGCGTTAACATTCTTTTTACGGATTCAGCCAATCTGACAAAGCTCCATAAGGACCAAGACATGAAGGTGTCTGAGGTGGGTATTCTGTGTCTTTACTGACATTTTACATCACATCCTTCGTATCATAATTATTAGAATACAAACATACGGTATTGTTTGTTTTTCCATAGGTTCTGCACAAAGCTGTGATCGACGTGGATGAGACCGGGACCACAGCAGCAGCCGCCACAACAATTGGCATCATCCCCTATTCTTTACCCCCCTCATTCATCGCCAATAGACCCTTCTTCTTCTTCATATACCATGAAGACACTAACACTCTGTTGTTCATGGGCAGACTCATCGACCCTACAAAAGTCTAGACCATTAGAATGCCTTAACTTTTCTTTTTAACATTTCTAACTTGCGTTGTAAAGCTCCATTGGAATTCCTAAACTGTCGATAAAATGCTACACCATTTAAGCCTGTAAAAATGTATACTGGTACATTCAGAAATCAAATTACTTTCTTGGGTTCTTAAAGGTGCACAGTAGCTTTTCTGGCAGAGAGTTTGCCACCTGCTTGTCTCCACACAGATTCAATTTCAATTTCAATTTTATTTCTTCCACAACTTTAAATTATAAATTTTAATCCCACAATAGGTGCACACTTATATTTATACTTGTACAATTTGACATATATTATGTACGCAATATGTGAAAACTGTAAAAAAAAAATACAAAAAAACACAGACACATAATATGGGGTCCATCACCACTGTGTGATTAATTTAATGTCTTGACAGATTCAGGTTTTGGTTAAAGTACAACAACAGACAAGACAGTAAATTAATAATATTAATGATGATAATAATAAATGCAAAAGGAAAAAAAAAACACAACAAAAAAAATTAAATTTAATAATAATATAATAAAAATAAACACAAATTTTAATAAATAAAATGACATAAAGATTGCCTTATTTGGAATGTCCCACAGAATGGATTTATTCAATTACACATGTTTTTACTGCTCAAAAATGTATTGGATCACTTCTTCCCTGATCTGACCTGTACCTGGCCTGGTGATGTTACATTCCTGGAAATAAATAAATGTAATGCTGCATGGAACATTCCAGGCAATAGCATCTCCATGGAGACAGTGGCAGACCCTCCATTAGAAAAGTTACACAGTGCATCAAGTGACCAGAACAAACAAAAACAAAACAAAAACTGGGACACTCTTGGTTAGGAAAGGTAATAATAAATTTTGGTAATAATAAAACTGTGAAACTGTGTAATTAAGGAAAACTGTCCTGCACTCGGGCCATTCATGACATGCAAGTCTTTATAGTCACATTTTCTTTGTATTTTGATCATTTTTAAGCAGCATTTCTATATTTTACCTAAACAAATGTCAATATATACCCCTCCTTACTGTTGGTCAAAAATAGGGACACCAGGGACATTTCTTGAATAAAACTGGTACAAATCAATGGTTTTGGATAAATCTACTGGCACATGGGGGCACAGGGTTCAAAACTGGGTCTGTCTTGGGCAAACAGGCACTTCTGGTCACCCTAACAGCGTCTCTTTTCTAATCAAAGTCATTTTAACTTCATGAAATTTGTGATATGATGAGAAATTAAAAGAAAAAAATGTGAAAATGAATAAAAAACTAAATGAAAAAAAGTTCAGTCCAGTAGATGGCAGTGATGTATCTCACAGTTTTGCCAGTTTTACCAACCACGTGACCCTCACTGTCATGGCGGCCTCCTCGTGGGTCATGCGTGCTTGTCAACACTTGTAATATCCAAATTATTTCAACATCAAGAAACCACTTGGTACTACGGTAAGTTTTTTTTTTTATTCTTCGCGTGTAATTCTGTTAATTATGGAGATACATTTCCCACATAAATCTAGTTTGTTGTCTGTTTTTGTATGCCTCAGTAGTAAAAATGAAGTCCAAGAAGATGAAGCCACAAGGCAGGCGCATAAACTCAGCCAAACGGAGCATCCAGGTGAAGGGAAAATGGAAATCTATCGAACTGGACCCGAGTCTCTTTTCCGAGGAGGGAATGGAGGGGCTGGTTTGCTTCGAAGAGCTGACAAACTATCGCCTGGTCGACTCCGAGAAAGCAGCAGCCAAAGCGGCCAAAGAGCTGGAGAAGGAGAAGAAAAAAGCTCAAAAGAGAAAAACTAGCGACGTGGAGGAGACTGGAGATGGAGAGGAGACTGAAGCATCTGGAGAGACCTCTGAAACCCCCAAGAAAAAAGCCAAAAAGAAGAAAAAGAAGATAAAGAAAAACAAGGATGAGTCTACAGAAGTTGTTGCTCAGACAGAAGATCAAGAAGAGGCGAAATCAGAATCTATTGATGATTCTTTGGAAAGTTCTCAACAGGATTCTGAACCAAAACCAACTAAGAAGAACAAAAAGAAGTTGAAGAAACCTAACCTAGAATCTCCTATTGAATCAACAACAGAGGAACAACCAGAGCAGGAGCCAACTTCAGAAGACCAGCCTGTACAGTCAGAAGAAGTTCCTAAAATAAAGCCCCCAAAACCTCCCAAACTGCAGATAAAGAATTGGACCAGTGCGGCTCTGTCTGGTTGTGAGGACACCAGCTCGGACATGAGTGCGTGGAAGGAGCTGTACGTGCCTGCTCCTGTGCTGAAGGCCCTGAGCAGCCTGGGCTTCAGTTCACCCACGCCCATCCAAGCCCTGGCACTGCCCTCAGCTATAAGAGACCGCATGGATATACTGGGAGCTGCAGAGACAGGTAAAGTAAAAAGTAGTTCTACGACATTATATTTTTTTTCACTAAGAAGGTTGTGGGTTATATTACCTGTCTACAAAACATGTATAAGGGCAAAGATATATAGAAGCATTGGTAAATCCTTTGCCATCCTTTCACTTGTTACTCGTTGAGGAAAAAAAACGTTTCCTTTTTGTGTTTGTTTACACTTGAAACAGAAATAAAGTCCAGATAATTTACTTATTCCAATATTAGAAAGCTGTACTTGTAAAAGGTGTCTGTGCTGACATTCCCATGCAGAGACTCGATGTTTACGCCTATACAATGACTTTTATAAGCAAACTATAATGGGAGGATACCATGGTTTAGACTTAGTGCCTCTTCGTAGCCTTGGCACGTTGCACAGTCCAGTCAGACTCGATCCGGGGTGTTATCTGAGTAACAAGTCATGAATACTGATAGAAATGATCTATCAGTAGTACTTGTCCTATTTAGTTAGTTTGCTATCAGATAGATTGGAATATTCTGCATTTGTCTTTACATATATCCATGAGTCTCACAGCTGTGATTATAGCCCTTATCTTTAAATGACCTTGATACAATAATGAACTATAGAAGTGATTATACAAAATGGCTAAGCCTAGTTATTTATCCTAACACATTAATTTACTCTGGAATAATTTAATCACATCAGTCACATTTAGTCATTTGCTCATATTTCACAGTCATCTAAAAAAATGCCTACTAGGTTGTCAAAAGTACTGAAAATCTAATTCTTATCGATACTAAAACTAGTATAGAAGCTAGATACTCATTTGAGCAGGTATTGATACTAAAAAAGTCACATTCACGGGACAGAAATGAATCAATACAAGCATAAGACCACATAGACTATACTAATGGACCACTATGGAACCTACTTAATCCACTGAGGAAGTACACAGATGACCACATGGGAATATAAAAGAAAGTACTATGATTTTTATGTTGAAAATTTTAAATTATCTTTATTGTCTAAAGAGAATCAGTATTGAGTAGGGGTGTAATGATATCTAAATCCTTTGATATGATATTTTCAGGATATGCATGTCACAGTACAATATTTATTGCAATATGTTGTGGAGCTTATGGTATTTTTTTCCTTTTAAAATGCCTTGGCAGTCCTTTGCTCTGTATTTTTTGTTTTAAAGTGCTTACTAACATAATTTCTTCATGCTGTCTGTGCTGAAATGAAGCAAAGGATCATGGTCTATGTAGTTCCCTTGGCTTTTTTAGTTGATACTGTACTATAACAAAGAATTTAAGCAAAGGGAATTGTAGTTTGATGTATTGTGATGGTCCATGATATTACTGTGAGACTTTTGACGATACGATATCACGATATTTCTGTTATTGTTACATCCCTAGTACTGAGTATCGAGCCTATTCCCTAGTACCAAGATTCAGTTTGAAATTTCAGTATTATGACTGTCCTAAAATGCACACAGTCGTGGTTTGGAATGTAGGATTATAACAAAGTAATTTGTTTTACTGCTTCTAAAATCCTTCCAACACTTTTGTTTCAGGTAGCGGTAAGACCCTGGCCTTTGCTATCCCCATGATCCACACCATCCTGGAGTGGAGAGAAAACAAGGACGGTTCAAACGCTAAAGGTGACACCAAAAAAGTAGAGAGTTTATATCTACCAGATGAGCCTGGAGATACTGATCAACAAGCAGATGATGGACAAGACCAGGAGGAGAACGAGGAGAATGAGGAAGACGAGGAGGAGGTGGTGGAAGAGGAGGACGAGGAGGAGGAGGAGGAAAGTGCAGATGTGGATGACAGCGATGCAGAGGAAGTCAGTGGTGTTTTGAATGAAGGCGATAGTGATGAGGATGGAGCAGATGATATCAAGCTTGGATGTGTTCAAGTGGGTGAAAAGGCACAGTTTCACCCTGCTCCCCAAGAGGAAAACCAGGAGGACGAGAGTCAAAATCAGCCTCTGCTCGGATTAGTCCTCACTCCCACCAGAGAGCTCGCGGTTCAAGTCAAACACCACATAGACGCTGTGGCTAAGTTTACAAGTAAGTTAATGCTTGGCCACAAATGTAATGTCTAAATCACATATCGTATTATTAGCATGTAGGTTGTTAAAAATTTAATTATAATTATTGTTCATATTGTATTTCCTTGCAAAGACTCATTGTCAGGTTGTACAGATTGTTATCTACTCAATAGTTCTGAGACTGCCTTATTCTAGTCTAGAGATAGTTTACTTTAAGATAACTTGTCAAGTAAAATTATCTTGCTGCATGGACAGATAATTTCACTACTTTTAAGTAATTTTCTGATAGATTTAAGTGTTTATATCTTAAATTTTGGCCAAACTTTTGCAGTGTAAATCAGATTGCTGAAATTTTGACCTTGTTTATGGTTAATATCTAGGTATATTCTGAGCCTATAAAAATTTCCCATAGAGTTAAATAAACCCCTGCTCTAAATCTGAATTAGTCTGTTCTAATTATTCTAATATTAACATTGCTTGTTGCTAAACTACTTGGTATACAGTCATTTCACAATATTTTTTTTTTGAAGATTACTCATTCTCCTCTTTCAACAGATATCAATACAGCCATAGTAGTGGGCGGGATGTCTCAGCACAAGCAGAGGAGGTTGTTGAAGCGCAGGCCGGAGATCGTCATAGGGACTCCAGGGCGCCTGTGGGACCTGATAAAGGAGAGAGAGCCACACCTGCAAAACCTCAGACAGCTCCGGTACATGTTTGGATTATTCTTTATAGATTTTATTATTTAGGTGATTAAGATGATGTTTTGAACTTATAAGGTCAAGTTGTATTTTTTCAGTATACTTGTAATAGTGCACTATGTGACCTTTCTGATGTAGGATCTGCCACCTGTTTATCCTCATAATTAGGGATGTAACAATAACAGAAATATTGTGATATCGTATCGTTCAAAGTCTCAATAATATTGTGGATCATCACAATATATCAAAATACAAGTTTGGTGCAGAATAGCTAAAAAAATAAATGCAGGCTTTAAGTTCTCTCCCTCCAACATTTTATTTATGTATTTCTTGCAGGTGTCTGGTGATTGATGAAGCGGACCGCATGGTAGAGAGGGGGCACTTTGCTGAGCTGGAGAGCCTTCTGGAGATGCTGCACACCACACACTTCAACCCCAAAAGACAAATGTTCGTCTTCTCAGCCACGCTCACACTGTCTTACACTCTGCCCACACGCGTCTTGCAGAAGAAGAAGAGGCTGGATCAACGCAGCAAACTGGAAATCCTCATGGAGAAAGTGGGCATTAAAACCAAACCAAAAGTCATCGATCTGACCAGAAAAGAGGCCACTGTTGAGTCGCTAACCGAGACACAGATCCACTGTCTGAAAGAGGACAAGGACTACTACCTCTATTACTTTCTGCTGCAGCACCCAGGGCGTACCATGGTGTTTGCAAACAGTATAGACTGCATCAAAAGGCTTAAATCCATTCTGACCATCTTGGACTGCATGTCCTTCTCCCTGCATGCTAACATGCAGCAGAAACAACGTTTGAAAAACCTGGAGAGATTTGCTGACAGGGAAAGGTAAGCCCAGGTACTCATAAAGAATCAAGTACAGTGACAAACATATCTTCTACTTAAGTCAAATATTTAAAAAGCCTCCTACGTTGTGCAAGGACTTGTAGCTGAAAGAAGTGTCATAGCTTTCCTGCTATTAATAACTTTTTTTTTTTTTTTTTAATTAAGAGACATACTATCAAATGCTGATGAAACCATAATTGTCTAAAAACAGTGACCCAATTGTTTAAAATCTCACCTACAGCTGTGTACTCCTGACTACTGATGTGGCAGCAAGAGGACTAGACATTCCTAATGTGGAGCATGTCATTCACTACCAGGTAATATTTTGTTACTCATTTATTGTATTAATTACATAAATACAGATCAATTACAGATTAATTAAGAAACAAATACATAGCGTCATATTAAATATAGTAATGCTATTTTTTGTATTGGCATCAGGTTCCCAGGACATCTGAAACCTATGTCCATCGCAGTGGCCGAACAGCCCGGGCAGCCAAAGAGGGCCTGTGTTTGTTGCTGATTGGCCCTGATGACATGTTGAACTTCAAAAAGATTTTCAGAACTCTTGGGAAGGATGAAGACCTTCCTATGTTTCCCATAGAGATGCAATGCATGCAAGCTATCAGGGTAAGACATGAACAGTGGGTCCAATTTGCATATGTAATATTTCATGTAACAGTAAGTTTCTCATATGTGCCACGTAGGAGCGGGTAGATTTGGCCAGAAGAATAGAAAGTATTGAGTTTCACAACAGCAGGGAGAAAAAGCACGACTCCTGGTTCAGACAAGCTGCAGAAGCTCTCGAGGTAGATCTTGATGAAGACCTTTTAATTGGTAAGACCAGCCAACTTTGATCTATTCTACTAAAAAGCATTACACCTATTTCATAATTAAAATAATGATGTATTTTGTCAGGTAAATCAAATGACGAGCATGCTGATGTCCAGCAGCAGAGAATGGTGAAAGGCATGAAAAAGCACCTGAAGCAGTTGATCTCTCAGCCTGTGTTCAAGAATGTGATGAAGACCAAGTATCCCACTCAAATGGGCAAACTGGCTCTGAAACAGATCACTGTGCCAGGGACTCAAAGTGCACTAAGCAGAGTGTTAATGCAAAAGAGTAAACAGAAAGTTAAAAAAGGTCTTTCACAAAAAAGAAACCGGAAACCAAAAAAAGAAAAGAAAAAGTAACATTCTGTGTTCACTTTGTTAACAAAGTTTGTTATTATGTAATTATTTTAATACTAAAAACTATAATACCTTGATCCTCTTTGTTCTGGCTTTTTATTGCATAGTCTTTATTCCTGAGTTTAACAAAGGCACACTGAATGGTTGGTCCAGCTTAAGTTCGTGGGTAGATGATATTATAATGTGACGTTTGATAAAGGAGGTGCACAGATGGCTCAGCACCTTCTGGAATAATGTGGTGAACGAGCTTTTGTTCATCGCCCTCCATTGACACAATGTGAATGCTCACATTCAAAGCTTGTGACAATGCCTGGATGTCCACATGGTCACACTCCATTGCCATGACTTCTACTTCCTAAATGAAACAGGTCATGTACAAAGATTTACGATCAAGCAGTTTGAACAAGATATCTATCTCATTTTCACTAGGGGGCAGCAACGTGACACCTACCTGATGGCAGTAGGCCTGGAGATTGGGTGCCACCACAAAGTTGCTAAAGAAATCTGCATGGATTTGCAGGTGTGCAGATGTGATGAGGCGGAGATACTGGACCATACTGTCAGAAGTGGATGGCTGGTTAAACAGTCTGTAAAGAGTTTCCACTCTTCCATCAGACTGACACTGCTCCAAAACATTCATGACCTGAGAGAGAGTTTCATTTTATTATATGGTAAAAGTGTATATTATTCACTAGAATTGTATTACTTTTGATAGGTGGTCCTTGTAGCATCTCTCATCAAACCCAGCACAAGACAAATCATTAGGGCTCTGCATAATCTCAATTAACCTACAAAAACAATCACAAAACATAGGCTAAAATAGTAATACAATCTCCTTAATTCAATGAGTATCAAGCTGGATATGGGAAAAAGGCCATAGAAGCCTTTTGGCCCTTTACTTTAAGCTTCTATACAGTAGGAGACTGACCCCTGTAATCCTCTTGAGTTCTGTATGGCAGATTCCAAGAACGCGAAGGAAAAGGCTCTGTAGAAACAGTTCCCATCGCCACGAACTTTTCTCACGGTGGAAAACTCCTGGCACACCTCCTGACACAAGAAAATCATTATCATCATTTATGGGACATGTGGTCACGGTACAGAAATGCTGATGAACCTACAGTTATTTTAGAGTTAGGAGTTTGGTCAGCAAAGTACGAAGCGATGTCCTCCCGTTCGGAGACCAGCCAGCCGCCCTCCATCTGTAGGACGCATACAGGCCTACGGTACAGTCTGTGGCGGACAGGGGACTCCGCCGGGGGCCCCACAGACATGTGCAGCCGACACGGACATACTGACACTTTTCAGAATCAGCTCCGTGACAAGTGTGTGGGAAATTATTGTCGGCAACAAAGCAGAGTGGACATGAAGCTGCTGTGTTTCGTTTCTACCGATTCTACTAGAATCCACCGGATGTTTGCATGGACCACGTGCTTCTCTTAAAGAGACACTTCCTGTTCATGAACTCCGTGAGGACAATTTTAGTGAATATTGATCATATCTGTATAAAAGAATATGTATATATATACGGTCTACGATACAGATAACATCAGATGTACGCGTATCCTGTATTAGACATTTAAATTGTACGTGTATTTTTTTTATAACTTACGGCGCATACATTCGCATGTTAACAATGCTAATATTTCCACTTTTTTTCAGCAAAGATATGCCAATTAGCTTAGAAACTGCTAAGAGCTAAAGACATTTATACATATCCTCTCAGCTCCCCGTGTGAAGAAGTTAAACATCTTAATTTGAATAATACTGTAGTCATGTATTTCAAAATACAACAAAACATAATTCCACCCCAAAACACTCTTCTGACATTGATGTGAACCAGATATTTATTTATTTAAGTACAAAACCACACGCCTTTGACTTTGTTTAAGATGTGTCACTCTTTTTACTGACTTTACTTGGACTTTTGATTTGGGTTTTAGTCCCCATATTTTTCACAGAGCCCTTCTTGTCTGCCAGAGGTGTCACTGCAGAGCCA